GCATGAAGAGCTAGGTAATGGCGTAGAGGAATTTTGGAATGTGCCTAAAGGGCAGATGTGGGGTTTTGTTAGTTTGTTTCCAGGTGAATCCTGTCAAAGCTCTGGGCTTTGGGCTTTCCCTTCTCTGCAAGGAACAGCCCCTTCCCCGAGAGTTTTCTCATGAGATATACAGACGTGACAGTGAGGGATGTATCCATGCTACTTCCTGTGGACTAACTGAGCCCTGGCACTCTGAGTATGTCTGAATTCCTTCAAAAGGCCACAATACTGGGGTGGAAGTGATAGCTCTTTCATAAGAGTTGAGTTAATGACACTCTGGATATACCAAAGTCTTTTTATGTGAAAGAGCCAAATGATTGCTCAGAGCTCCAGTATGAAACTTGAGAGTCTCTGGGTTAAGGTTAGGGTAAAGGTTAGAGGGGAGAGGAAGAAGGGTGGTGTGGTGGTGGGGGTCTGCTATAGACCACCAGACATGGGGCAGTGGTGGATGATGCTTTCTTCAAACAGCTAGAAGAAATTTCCTGGTCACAGGCCCTGCTTCTCACTGGGGACTTCAATCACCCTGACATCTGCTAGGAGGGCAATCCAGCAGTGCGCAGGCAATCCAGGAAAGTTTTTGGAGAGTACTGGAGACAACTTCCTGGGGCAAGTGCTGGAGCGGCCAACTAGGGGTTGCTGCTCACAAACGGAAAAATTGGTGGGGAATGTAATAGTGGATGGCAACTTGGGCAGCAGTGACCACAAGATGATTGAGTTCAGGATCCTGAGGATCCCAATACACAAACACAGATGTGCCCTCAGGCCATGGTCTTGGACTCATGTCCAAGGTTTTGGAGAGGCCTTGACAATCCCAGCTATGGTGAAGAGGTAGGCAAGGCACTTAGTAGGTGTTGTGTGCTTGAGCCTGGGAGCCTGTTGCTGGCTGTGGTGTGGCACACGGGCCGGGGGTGTATGTGAGGCATAAGGATCCAGTGTCATGCTGGGCCCTAAAGGACTCTAAGCAGTCCCTGGGGAGATTGGAGTGCACGGGAGATGGGGAAATTGTTGGCAAAGACCTGACACAATCGTCGTAAGTGTGTGCCAGAAACAGTAAGGGAGCAGGTGTAGGTCCGGACTGCCTGGGCTGGTGTCACCACAGGAAGCAGGAAGGACATTTACATTTCCAAGCAGAACCTGTAAGGGGCTGGAGATTGGGATACCTGAAAAGAGATACAGACACTGAATGCATGAAAGTCCTAAGATGTGTGAGACATAAGGGATAGGTAAAAACGTACTATGGTCAAGGTGTCCAAGGGGGAGAAGGAGCTGCAGATTCACCCATACAAACCCAGGCAGGGTTGAGGCCTGCAGGATCTCCATATCAATGCCTAAGATGTGAGGATCCCCCAGAAGGACTTTGTGAATCCCTGGCTCCAAGAAAACACTCAGCCCATGGGCAAAATACAGCCTGTGGGCCAGATGCAGCCCAACAGGCAATTCCACCTGGCCCTTGCGTCCCCTCTGTGCCCACCTTTGAGCCCTGGTCCTCCCTGCCCCTCTGCCTCCCTGCCCCTTCTCTCAACATTGTCCCTCCTGTTCCAGGTATAGCGGTCAATACCTGTTGTCCAGTCATAGGTGGAGTCCCACCAGGTCTCTGTTATCCCTATGAATTCACATTCATTTTCGCTCAGAAGGTCCAGTTCCTCCTGTTCATTCCCCATGCTCCTAGTATTTGTATACAGGCAGCTAAGCCTGCCTTTGGGAGCCCTGGCCTTCCCTGTCCACTTAAAAGGAGTCCCACCTCCAGCTGGGGTCGGATTAAGTTCCCTTTTGTTTCCTGACATGCTGATTCTGTGGTTGTCACCTCCTGGGCTTGTACTAGCGATTGTCCGCCCATCCCCCAGCAATCTTAGTTTATAGCTCTGTCAAACAGGTCAGCCGTTCTGGCTGAGAAAATCTTCTTTCTCATCAAAAGGGCCAGAGCCAGGGCCCAGAAAGGTTATGGGGGTGGGCAGGGTTTGGACTGGGTCCAGACCAGGGCAGGCATTAGGGCCTGGGAGAGAGGGTTCAATGGTTAGATCTTGGGGGAGGGGCCCTAATGCCAGGTCCTTTCCCCTTTTGCTGGCACTGGAGAAGGTGTTGGGCCCTGCTGCCCCCCCAACATCCAGCCTCTGGCATGTGGGTGGGGAGTGGGGAACGAAGGCCTGGCATGATCCCGGTACCAGTTGGACAAAAGGCCAACATGTAGGTTCAGCAACTAAGATCTTTACTGAGTGACACACACAGATCAAGTGGGGAAAAGCAATGCTATATCTAAAATCATTCATACTTGCACACATATTCTCCCAATCACTCTGCAGATGTAATAGTTACCAAAGTCAGTCAGCCAAGGAGCAGGGCATACAGATGTATCTCTGCTCCAGTGAACTTTGCGAGGAGTCAACCCAGCTTCTTGCTGTTAAGTCATTTCCTTTTATAGGGAGCACCAAGTCTTTGTTCAAACTTTGTCCTGGCATGTATGCGGTCAGGCTCATGCATCCTTGTCCTCAGTCACTCTGTTTAGAACATTCCTTCCTTATCGCCGGTGTAGGCTGTGTCCATAGTCTTTCTTCCTCTGCCTTCTTCAGCATGATCCACCATTTGGTAACTTGTTTACGGACATGTAGCTTATTTTCTGCTTTTACCCATTACTCTGTTGCTGTTGAGCTGAGTTCGCTTTATCAAAACTCACAGTCTTTTAGCTATGTAGATGGATGGTGAGGAGTTGCTCTACACTAGTCTGAGACAGGGAGTTTACTTTGCTCCTCATCTTGTAGATCAGGGGCTGGCAACCCATCCAGGAAGAGCACATAACAATAGCAGATGCTTCCTCAGCCTGATGAAGGGTTTTTAAACCCAAAAGCTTGCTAAGAAAATTTTTTCCAACTACCTAGTTGGTCTAATTAAAGATATCAGATATAAAAAAATATAATGTACATAAGATATATAAAAGATATATGCCTTCCGGGCCTGGCCCCAGCTCCACCCAGCCCCGGCTGCACTGGCCCAGCCGCAACATCCCTGGCCCCAGCTGTATCAGAAGAGCTGCACCGGCCCTGGCCCAGCTGCATGGCTGCCTCCCAGCCCCAGCTGCACCCAGCCCCAGCCACCCTGAAATGGCCACACTGGCCTGGCCGCACCAGCCCCCGTCCTGGCCACACCATCCCCAGCTGCACCGGAACAGCCATACCAGCCCTGGCTGCACAGCCACCTCCTGGCCCCAGCTGCACCTGGCCCCGGTCGCACTGGAATGGCTACACTAGCCCTGCTTTTTTTTCCAGCTGCAGGAAAAAAAAATATAGAAAAAAATTAGCAGTGGCACCTATTGGCCACTACAAAAATAACACAGTGCCACCGGGTAGCGAAGGAAAATAATTAGAAGTCTTTGAGTCCCTTCTTGTTTGCACAACGCGATTCTCTAGACTGCAGCGAGGTAAGGGACATCGATGCAAAATAACACATCTCCAAGTAGTGTTAGTTTAAGGCTAAATGGACTTTCAGAGCAGCGGGAAATCCCGATCATGCAAACACAAACGCAGTTGGGTCAATGTAAATGGGGACTATTGTGGCGTCTACACATGCCCACTGATGTGGAGAATTAAAGACAAATGTAGTTCTAAGCCCCCAGAACTGTAAACTCTATGTTAGAAATTCATATAAAGATCTGAACTTTGCATATTGCACCTATTCATATAAATGTGATTCTAAATATAACTGTCAAAATTCTGAAACTGAAGTTGAATCCAAACTTTGCAACTGGCATCCTTGCTTAAAAGAGACTAAATCAAAACTTCAATTCTGAACCCATTTTGAGGCTTTTGAAAGTTGGAGCCAGTTCTGAGCCTGGTGTCTTAAGTAGACACTAGTGAAGTTCTGAACCAAACAGATTTTACTCTAAATCAGCACAACGCTACATCGGACAGTAGAAAAAGCACAGGGCTATGTACAGCGCAGTAATGGCTGGGAAAGCCTGGGGGTCCCAGATGCCAGTGATAGAAGGTCCATCTCTCTGCAGTTTCACTCCACACAGCTCAATCTCTGCTGCTGCAATGTTCAGCTTTTCCTCTTGAAAGGAGGAAACCAGCTCATCATCCAGATGAAAGGTTTCTGAATTCAGATGGAAGTTTTGCTCCAAACAACAAAGACCTTTGGAAAGATAATGTAAAACTAAATTTGAAGGAGAGAGGAGGTGGAGTGTTTAATTGGGAGGAGGGGGTGAGCGGGGGAGAGAACATAGGTGAACCAGCAAGTCTCCACATGATGGGACAGGCTGTAGTATCAGCTAAGCTAAAGCATACATTTGAACAAGATTGTCCCATCCTCTCCTAGATCCAGTGAGGAAATATCGCTTGCATCTTGATCTTTTCAGCATTAAATGTCCAAAGTAGTAACTACTTTTGGTCATTGAGGATTCCCTAGCAACTCCCCCAGAATTGAAGGTGTTAACTTCATCATCCTGGCCAGATATCACTTTGGGCCACAGTTCAGCCAGCAAATAACAGTTTTCTGATGTAGCCAGCAGTACAAATAAATAACTAAATAAAATAAAATGAAGAACTTTGAGATCCTCAGAATCTGACTATAAGAGCAATGAAATGTAACACTCTCATCCATCCCACACATGAGATCTTAATTTTCTGTTTATAATAAAATTAGATGTAAACTTTGTTGCCTCTTTTCCCCATCCCCCTTTATGTTCCTTCTCATGTTTTCTCAAACTGTTTTTCCTCTGATTTAATGTCCATCTGCCTGTAGCCTTTCGAAACAGAAATAATATTATTTTGAGGAATTTTCTCACCATTTGCATTATTTTTGGTATTGAGGTCCTTTCCACACACTCCAAGAGCAACAACTGATCCACAGTCAGTTCTGGAAAGAAGACAATGTGAGAAAATGAATCTTGTTTAAGCATGACAAAAGCAAAACACTTTTGGCTGAGGCTGGAGGAGAAAGAATATCAAGTACCAACCAGGGAATAAATCCAAGAAGGCTGTTATGTGGATGGGCATTAGGGAGAAGTAATTTCCTGTACCTGTCATGTTAAAGACTTGCAGGAACGTGCCGCATTTCTCATGCACTAGATGTAGAACAATATTTTTACTCATTTGTGTTGAGCTACAGTTCTCTCTAGGTTTCCTTAGCCACAGTCACCTAAAGTGGATATGGAACTCTGGCTTGGAAAAATCTTCTCTTGAAGCACCTTTTCCCAGGGGAAAAAAAACCCCTAAATTTTGCAACTCAGCCCTACCATTCAGAGCTTGGAAGAAGAGAGAGCTGACATAGCAAAATCACAGAAGCAGTCCTCTGAGCGAGCCTTGATTTTCACAAGTGGGGACCAGATGTTTTCTCTGAACGCTTCTGAGTTTGGAATCTCAGTGTCCAGCACATCTTCACCATTACTGTCAGTGAATTGTTCCATCTGTAGATTAAAAGAGAAAGAAACAGAGCTGATAACTAAGAACTATTGAAACACATGCTGTATCTCTTTATTTACCAGTACTTAACCTACACACACCTTGGCCACATCCCTATGAGTGGGAATGTGTGGTTTGAGGTGCAACCAAGCCTTTTGAGGAGCTGCAAAATGCATGCAGTGCATGTGGATCTGTTTTCTATGCTGCAGTGCAGCAGCAAAATTTGATACTGGAAAGTTCTGGTACCTAAAAAAAACAAACAAACCCAGAAAAAAATGGCACAATGCACGTGGCTGCAGCATGTGCTGTTGGAAACCAGATGCTGGCTGGCCAGAGCCATGCTCCAGCTGCCGGCCAGGCTCTGCGCAGCTGGATTGTTACCACTGCAGCCCCTGGTGTGGAGTTTGGTATCTAGAAGATTTTGGTTACTAGATAGCTTTTTATATTTTACATTACATAATGCAATTGGGTCTGTTATAAAGTATTGCCGTTTCCTTCCTGGACAGGGCTTTATTAAAGAAGGATATTGGGCTAGGTAAGTGTTGGTCTGACATTTATAATCTAGGTTTGCCAGTTTCCCTTGTATACCAAATACTCAAAAGATGCTAACGCATCCAATTCTTTTTTCCTTTCTTCAATAATGGAGGTAGTAGACTTCTCAAAGATACAACAAAATACTGCATAGAGGAATAAATATCGCCACTTTGAGCTACTGATAAAGAAAAGATGGGGTATAATATCTCTGTTTACCAAACCATTTATCAGACACAATTTAGGGTGTTCTTTGGTATGTGCTTAGTATTTTTGCTAATGAGCGGACAGAGCTGCATAGTAAAATCCAGTGGGAGGCCAGCAGCTTGTAATTTTAAGTACCCCGTGGATTTTTTTTCTCAGTGTCTTTCATTTTTTCTGATCTGTAGTAGACACTCACTATGAGTTCTCTGCAATAATTTATTTCATTCTACCAGTTTTTTAAGCTCTTAAATTGTACCTTTTGACAACAGAAACTCTTACGAAAAAGCCCTCTCTCTTCATCACTTTTTCCCTTTTTTTTCCAAATGGACCTACAAAGGATATTTAATCACATACCACGTGCACTTTCCCCCCAAAAAGAAGCCCTCCAAAATTGGGGTGTATGTCTTAAGATGGGAAGCTGAATTTTTACTGGAATAAAAGCATGGAGGCACTGTAAAATGGTTTATGATTCTTTTTCTTCTCTTTCCCCTCAGCTGACCCATGGAGGAAGGAGCAGTCTAGTCTTCAGTATCAGCAACAGGTTCAGTCACTGCCAAACTGGCAATGGCTTTCGGCTGTGCAGTCAAGAGCCATTGCCCATCAGGCAGCAGCTGTGAGACGGTTAAACTGGTAGCTTTTGCCTGAGCAAAAGGAGAGTGAGCAAGCTGATGATTAGGCTCTGTCCATGCTTCGTGGAGCCATCATTCTGAGGAAAACCTCCAGCCTCGATCAACCAAGTCTGCTGGGACATCTTCATTAGCACGCTCCAGCTGCCTCAGCGTCTCGTGTATTCAGCATTCCT